ATACAAATATGGAAAGAACACTTCGAAGAAATGCACTCCAAACACGAAGTAACACTAGATAGATGAAGAGAATAAAATACTGGAGTTAAACGTTAGCACATATGAAATTACGAAAGAAGAAATACAAAACATACTAAAACAACTAAAAAATGGCAAATCCGCTCGAAGTGACGGCCTATCGGTAGATTTATTCAAGGACGACTCAAACGATTAAGTAGAAATAACTAAAAGAATGGAACAGGACGTAATTATTGAGATCTTATTAAACTGAATTAAAGCCAGAGCTAGATAAGAAACTAAGCAACAACCAAGAAGGTTTTTGCGCTCCAAAACTCCATTATCGACTATATTTGTACTCTAAGAACTATCTCGGAACAAGGTAATGAATGACAAAGAAATATAAATATAATGTTTATTGTCTTTGAAACGACCTTTGATAGTATAAATAGAAAGCAAATTTGGAAGATTGTGAAACTATATGGACTACCGTTGAAATACACTAACCTGATCAGATTAATCTCTCAGATCATAACTGAAGAAATAGCAGACAAAGCAGAGTTAAACAAGGTTACTGTCCTCGACACTATTCCTAATCATAACGGATTGGATCATGTAAACAATAAGCAAAAAAACAGGTATTGGGTAAAACTTGCATAACCAGTTAAAGGACTTGGAGTTCGTAGACGACTTTTGTGTCCTAACCGAACATAGCAACCACACGCAGAAGAAGATTAATATAGAAAAATCTGAACTCTCAAAAAACCACAAATACTCTAATGTTTAGTCATTAAGAGAAATGCAGAAAAAACTAAACTAATAAAAAAACAACAGCCAAGAAACTTAAGTTAGAATAAATAGAAGACAAATAGAGGAAATAGATAAATTTATATAATATCTGGAATCAATTATGTGAAAAAGGCGCTAGTAGATCAGATGTAGAAAAAGAATACTAAAGGCATAAAATGCATGTAACTCCTTAAAGAATATCTGGAACAAACACGATCTATTCGAATTAACCAAAATCAAAATATTCAACTACCAAAAAACTACAAACCTTTACATAAAACGTTGAGAAAAATTAAACGCAGATCTATAGAGATGAAAAAAATAAGGGAAAATAAGAGTCACGATTGCAAGGAGGACATAGATTGGACATACACTAACTAAAGACCAAAATATCATAACTACACTGGCACTTAAATACCAACAAAATGGAAGAACAAGAGGAAGACCAGATAATATCTAGAGAAGAAGTGTAACAAGAGATCATAAAAGAATTGGCCTGCGATGAAAAAAGGTCAGAGAGCGAGAAATAGAGAGAAATGAAAAAGCCTTGTAGAGAAAATTTTGAAAGAATAACACGCAAAAGGATGCGCTGATCCAGACAATCAGCTTTTGGGTAAGAATCGCAAGATCACTCAATACTCCATAAAAAGGAAAGGCAGTATAGAGCGGGAAATCGGAAAGAAATAGAGTTAAGTCGATGGTTATAATATTTAAGTATTAAAAAATCTTCTTATTCTTTTTCTTCTTAATTTAGCAATAAGTTATGTCCATTCTGACAATTACGTCCAGAGGCGAAGAGGCGAATAGGCCTAACTTGGGCAGCATTTGGCAAATTAATCCATATTCTAAAAAGTTCAATTCCCATGTGTCTCAAGCGAAAGGTTTATGACCAATGTGTTTTACCTGTACAAACTTATGGAGCGGAGACTTTAACACTCACGCAAAAATCTGCGAATAAACTCAGAGCTACGCAACTAGCCATGGAACGTGCAATGCTGAACGTGAGCCTTCGAGACCACATAACAAACCAACAAATCAGGTAAAGATCAGTAGTTCAAGACGTCATCGAAAGAACCACGTCGCTTAAGTGGAACTGGGCAGTCACTTAGCCAGAGCACAAGATGGACGGTGGACAAGACGTATTATGGAATGGGGGCCCAGAAACTATAAAAGAAGCCGAGGACGACCACCGACTAGATGGACCGATGATCTAAAACGTGTAGCGGGAAACTGGCTACAAGCGGCCCAGTGTATAGAACACTGGAAAAAACTGAGGGAGGCCTATGTCCAGCAGTGGACGCAATTGGCTGTTTGATGATGATTCTGACAATTAACTCTGATGTCCAGCTATTATAGCATTATTTTGGAGGTCTCACAGATGGTCCTGATATATTGAATTTTTCAGACCTTGAAGTTTTTGCGAGCCTTTCGTCGTCCATTCTACTTTTGTGGACTCTCTGTCTAGCGTCTCTGTCTAGCTTATCTTGCGATATCCCATATACCGCGTTGTTCTCTTATAAACCCTTTCCTTTTTCGGTTCCTAAGGCTGTAACAAGCAATGAATCTCAGCATTCTCATTTCTGTTTTGATGCTTAGGTGCTTCTTGGTTGAAGCTGTTTCCGCTCCAGTTTGGATCGCATAGGTCGTTATTGGTTTTACGCTGGTCTTATATATTCTCGCTTTACTTCCTATGCTCACATGCTTGTTCCTCCAAATATTACCCCTCCTCCACTAATTCCACTAATTTACATTTCTTAGGGTCTATATTAATGGTAAGTAATGGTGTATTCTCAATAGACATAACCCTATTAAATTTTACTGGAATGTTTTAAAGCCTGTATTGGCGACGTGCAAGTACTTGAAGGGGATACGAGAAACGATCGTGCGCGAGTAGTGGAGAAATCTTGCATTTTTTACTGTACATTTCATAGATTATAGATTTCATAAATTCATATTGTCAATTGTCATATTTCATATTCGTTTTGTTTATTTACACCTTCTGTCACTGAAGAAAATGGGATTTAAGAAATGCTGTGTTATAAATTGTAAAAATACAACAAAAAAATATTCAATTTAAGTCTTATTCGTTTCCAACTTCGAAGCACAAAGCTAGTACAAAGAGAAAAGTAGATTTATATCATAAAAAAGCATAAGTAACATAACCTAAATTATGCATTATTCTTGCGCCCGATTTTAAAGTCAGTTTGAAATAAATAATAAATAAAAGTTTCATAACACTCACTTAGAGTTCCTTTTAACCCAAACATCAAGTTTAATGTTTGAATTTTATTTTTTTGAAGTTAACAAAAATGCATCAAGTTCAAGTTTTTCTGAAGATGCATTAAGATATATTCGCTGTCCAAAAGTTTACAGGGAAAGAATTAATTGTTCAAACCAATATGATGATATCATTTTTTCGATTTATTTTCTGCTAATTTATGCATTAGCATTATTTATGGTAATTTATTTTTCTTAATTCTTCCACTCCACGTAATTCTTCCATTCATTTTTGACACTTGCCACTACTAAAGCTTTTCCCTTTGACTCGTGCTTGGTTGAAAAGTTATTTGGTGATTTACTTTCTCAAATCTAGTTTTTATTATTGCATCCATATTAACAGTAATGCTGTAATTCAATAATATATTTATTTGTATTTACGCTACATCAACGTTTACCTTTTAATAACATACCGACATAACCTCAATCTTACTTTTTCTTCTTATTCTTTTTTGGGGCCACGTCCTTGACAGTTATCCGGTAACCTTGATCTTACATGAAAGCGCAGTAAATTTGGCTGATTTACGACACCAGGTGTCGCTGTTCCGAACTTGCACGGTCCCAATAGTAATCGTTGTAGGTTATCTTCATCCTCCAATATAAGTACCATGTTTATTTTCGTCTTTTATTTTCGACGCCATATTAGGTCCTCGTAGCGTTGGCAATTACCTTAACGTATTCCTGTAAAACTGCGAATGTTCTTGAGTCACGACAAATACTTGCTTCCAATTTCACTGCTGATTAGTATGTTTTAATTTCTTTATTTTCCATTTTGTAACCTTTTTCTGATGTTTTGACTTCATTTACGATCGCATCCAACCAAATTGAAGATAATTGGACTGACATAATCTCCCTGTCGTATTTCTGTCTATATAGGTATTTTCTCAGCCGGTTTGTTGGTGTTCATTTCCTTACATTAAATTGCCTTTTCCGCTTTAGTATTAGGTATTTGTAAAACTAAAAAGAAGGTACCACACAGAGTAAGGAAAGAAAAGGGAATTTTATTAAAATACGAATTAAATACAAAAGTAATCAAAGTTTAACAATAAACTCCAAACATAGGATTGCAATTGAAAGGGAGCATTAAAATATTACAAATTTATGCACCAGTGGAGAAAACTGATAAAGAAAAGTTCATCGAATTCTAAGAAGAACTACAATTAACTTGAAACAGCCAAAGAGAGAATAACACAGAAATAATAATAAGTGTATTCATAAGGATTGTGGGAGTTCAGAATTGGTAAAGAGTCACTAATGAAAGAAGGGAATTGAATGCAATTGTTTAACAGACCAAAACCCATAAAGGCTTGTAGCGCTAGAGAAAGAAGAAGAAGTACGTGGAAGAAAATGGAAAAATATCAAGAATTCGGTATTAACAACGATCTGTGAGAAACAAGTAGTGAGTAAAAGAAAGAAATATAAAAATTACAAAAATAATATTTTCGAAGGTTTATTAAATGAGTGTTACCTATCTTCTTTCTTTCTTTCTTTCTTTGTCTAAGAAAAAAACATTAAAATAAACAATCAGACGCTGAAAGGAATAAGGATTCACTCGAAAAAGAAGAATTTTTACATTTAAACATTATCTCTATGACATATAGTGCGTAAAATTTAGTAAGTTGAAAACAAAATCACGAACAAAATAAATACAAAATCGATCTTTCATAGTTTTACCTCCAAAAATAATTAACTTATACTTTTATGGAGCTTTTCCAAAATTTATGAACTCACTGCAGTACATTAAAGGTACCAAAATCGTATTACCCTGTATCTTTTATTTCACATCAATTAAAATTGTCGTTATCTAAGTGCCTGGTGAAAGATTTCAAAATATTTACTTCTGCAATACGCACCACGTTGTTTTTTCCTAATAAGGAACATTTTTTAACGAAATATCTCTCACAGTTTGTTAATAACGAGAAAAACCCAAGACTTACGTAAGGATCCTTCCTGCTTCTTTGCTCCTATAAATGTCGCACTCGTGGAGAGGTCTAGCAGGATCAGTGGGTGAGTACTGTCCTGCGGCGATGCAGAGGGAACGGTAAATTTGAAACTGGAGAATCGTGCTAACGAAATACCTGAAACAAAGAGAATGGTATATATTATTATCAATGATTTTAATTACTTGAAACGTTATTATTGTTTTAATATTTTGATGCGAAATTACAGTTAAATCCATGTTTCAGGAGTTATCTAAACAGTTCCGGTAATTTTTTTAAAATTGAGGTATTCTAAAGTTATTACTTCTGGATTACAGGATCACAATCCTGTAGTAGTCACATTAAGAATAAAATTAAAGATCATTAAAATAAACACATACAGAAACAAATTGACGTGAGAAGACTGAATGAACAACATATAAAAGAGAAAACAATAGTAAACATCAAAGAAAATTTACAAAATATAGAGAAACTGAATAGAAATACTGATAACATAGACCAAAAATGGGAGAATATTAAAATGCCGTAATGTTGGCAGAGAGAGAAAATTTAACATCGAAAGAAAGGAAACATAAAGAATGGATGAATGAGGAAATACTACAGTTGATGCGTGAAAGAAGGGTACACAAAACAAATAATCCGATAAGATACAACGAAACAGATAAACTGATAAAAAAGAAAATAAGAGAAGCTAGAGAAAGATGGCTAAGTGAGCAATGCCAGGAGTTGGAACAATTGGAGCGAAAATATGACTTTTTTGGAGCGAAAAAACAATTGAAGCGAAAAAAAAAAGATTAAAGAAATGACAGGAAGGAGAAGAACAACACAGACAGGACAGATCAAAGTTACAGATGGTATAATTATAACAGATTGACAACAAAAAATGAACCAATGGACAGAATACATATCACAACTGTTTGAAGACAAAGATAGACAAGAAATCTCAAACGAATATACAGATGATACAGGGCCTGATATAATCAGGGAAAAAATAGAATATGCAATCAAACAAGCAAAAAGTGGTAAGGCCCCCGGTCCTGATGAAATTCCCGTAGAACTGCTCAAACTTATGGACGATGAATCTATTAAAATACTCCTAGATCTATTTAACACAATATATAGAACTGGAATAATACCTAGGGATTGGCTCCGTTCGACCTTTATACTACTGCCAAAAAAGGCAAATACAAAGGAATGCAACGAATATCGTACGATAGCTTTGATGAGTCATGCTCTAAAACTGTTCTTAAAAATAATTCATAATAGGATCTATAGGAAATTAGACGTAGACATCAGTAACACTCAGATGGGATTCAGAAAAGGGCTGGGTACAAGGGAGGCTCTGTTTGCAATGAACGTTCTCTCACAGAGATGCTTAGCCATGAAACAAGAAATTTACGCCTGCTTTATTGATTTCGAAAAGGCCTTTGACAAAGTACAACATGAACCACTAAGACAAGTTCTAATAAATAAAAATATAGACAGCTGAGATATTCGAATTATATGCAATCTATATTGGAATCAAACAGCAAATGTCAAGGTTGACGGCAGACTAACAGAAAAAATTCAAATCCGTCAAGGAGTCCGGCAGGGATGTATTTTATCGCCACTTTGATTTAATCTGTATAGTGAAGCTTTTTAATTTATATGTTGAAAATATATTTGCGGAAGCATTAGAAGATACGGAATTAGGCATTAAGGTGAACGGCATACCAATTAGCAACCTACGCTATGCGGACGACACAGTGATTATAACTGATAATTTGGAAGATCAGCAGTTATTACTTGATAGGGTGAATAGCATAGGTAAAAAGTATGGCCTCAAAATCAACATTTTGAAAACGAAATATATGGTCATTAGCAGAAACCCTCCAGAAAACCCGATATTATGCATAGGCGACAATCGTATAAATCGCGTGAAAACTTTTAAATACCTTGGCACCACAATCAATGACCAATCGGATCCACAACACGAGATAAAACCCGAATACAAATGGCAAGACAAGCTTTTGTGAAATTCAGACCGCTTCTATGTAATCAACACCTAAACATCGAAATACGCTACAGAATGGTCAAGTGCTACATATGGTCCATCTTGCTTTATGGCATGGAAACGTGGACTTTGAAAAAAACATCTATCAACAAACTTGAAGCATTTGAAATGTGGTCATTGAGAAGAATGATGCGCATACCTTGGGTGGATAGAGTTCGAAACGATGACGTCCTTAATAGAGCCGGCGTGGAAAGAGAACTCTTTGAATTAATTAAAAAACGCAAGATTGGTTACCTTGGGCACATATTGAGAGGAGCAAAATATGAAATACCACAGTTAATCCTACAAGGGAAGATCGAAGGTAGGAGAGGAGCCGGCCGCAAACAATTGTCCTGGTTAAGGAATATTAAAGAATTTACAGGAATACACAATACAGGTGAGCTGTGTCACGCCGCCAAGAACAGAATTCTAGTAATGAGATAGTCGCCTACGCACTTTGGTGTATGGCATGTTAAGAAGAAGAAGTGAAGCTATCTGTGAACAAGCACTCGAGGAAGAAGATCTTGGTCCGATAATAAATAATGAGACGATCAACAATATAAGGTATGCTGACGATACAGGAACGGGAACGCTAGTAGAACTACAACATCTCGTTCAAAGTCTCAAAATATACTGTAACAGTTACAGCTTGAAAATTAATTTGAAAAAAAACTAAATTTATGGTAATCACGAAATCAAAGAACATCAGAGCTAATCTTGTAATAGACAATACAACGATTGAGCATGTGCCCTGTTATAAATATCTAAGTGCTTGGATCACAGATGATACTGATCAAACAAAAGAGATTAGATGTAGAATAGAAATCGCTAGATCGGTCTTTAATAGAATGCGCAAACTCTTTTGCAATCGTGATATCAATATAAAGTTACGAATACGAATGCTGCGGTGTTATGTCTCCCTGTTATATGGAGTTGAGGCTTGGACACTAAAATAGTTGACCATAAACAACATCGAAGCTTTCGAGATGTGGTGCTATAGGCGCATTCTCAGAATATCATGGATGGACCGCGTCACTAACACGCAAATACTCCAAACTTTAGACAAAAGATGCGAAATTCTAAATGAGATATAAACTAGAAAGATGGAATACTTGGAGCACATTGTGAGAGGTGAAAAGTACGAACTTTTAAGAAACATCATACAGGGCAAAATTAAGGCAAAAGAAGTGTGGGAAGAAGAAAAATATCGTGACTTCGTAATCTACGTGAATGGTTCGGGTGTAGTTCGATTGAACTTTTTAGGCGCGCTGCTAACAAAGTCGCAGTGGCCATGATGATTTCCAATCTCCGCTAGGAGTGGCACGAGAAGAAGAAGAAAGGTATTATTTGTCTCGTTTGATTATACAAAATTAAGAAAAAGAGAAAAAACTTAAAACCTGATCCAACTTAAATCTAACAGAAGTAGGGGAAGAAATCTTAATATCAGAAGATGTCAATGAAAATTGGAGCAATATTCAGAAGGCTGCAGAAAAAATTTAAAGCCTGAAAAAACAAATAAAAAACAGAAGTGGATGACGTTAGAAATTCTAGCATTAATGGAAGAGAAGAGAAAAGCCAAAGGAAGAAATGAGCCAAAATATCAAGAACTACAAAGTAGAATGAAAGTAGAGATAAAAATGGCCAAAAAAAGTGGTTAACAGATCAATGTGTAGAAATAGAAGAGTGGGACAGAAAATACGACAGTTTTAATATGCATAAAAAAATAAAAGAACTAACAAATACCAAAAAGCGAGCACACTATGGGATACTCAAAGATGATAATGGTAAACTTATTGCAGACATCAAAGATAAACTAACATTTTGGCAAGAATACATAATGAAACTATTCGACGATGATAGAATGATACAAGAAGAACCACAGGAACAAAAAGGACCAAAAATAATAGTGTGTAATTTAGAAGAGGCAATTAGAAATGCAAAGACAATATCAGAGGAACACAGGGTATACTAATAAATAAAAAAATCTTGAAAAACATAAGATGCGCAAACGACATCGCTGTTTTGTAAACAGTCTAGAAGCACTGCAAGGCTTAGTAAATAGATTACATCAAGTCAGTATAAAATAAGAACTACAAATGAACGTTAAGAAAAGCAAATGCGTAAATATTTCAAAGCAACATGCAGCAGGAGGGCTGGATATCGAGGGAAAACAAGTAGAAAGAGTGAATAGCGACAAATACCTGGGAACCTGCGTAAATGAAAACAATGACCAATGTAGAGAAATAAGGACAAGCATTGAAATTGCAAGACAAGCATTTATAAAAATGCAAACAATGTTTGTTAATGGAGAATTTCCTCAGGAGCTAAGGATAAGAGCCTTAAGATGTTAGGTATTCTCAACTTTGTTGTGTGGAATGGAAAACTGGACACTAAAAGTTTATAATATAAAGAAGTTAGAATCATTTTAGATGTGGTGCTATAGAAGGATTTTGAAAATACCATGGACCCAACGAGTTACAAATGCAGAAGTGTTAAAAAGGCTACAAAAGGATTGCGAGGTCATAAAGCACATCAAAATAAGAAAGCTGGAATATTTAGGCCACATTACTAGCCACATTATTACCAAAAGTGCGAAATATGAGATATTAAGGATCATTATGCAAGGGAAAAAGATACATATGAAGACGAAGAATTTCCTGGCTAAGAAACCTAAAAGAGTGGTATAATAGCAGCTCAGTAGATCTTTTCAGAGCAGCAGCCAATAAGGTACGGATAGCTGTGAAGATAGTCAACCACCGATAGGAGAAGGAACTACAAGAAGAATGATTTAATTTGGAATACCAAAAGGATAAGTAGAATTAACTAAAATGGCAATGAAAATGAAGCAGTTGAAGCTTTTATATGTATTTAAAATCGCTACAGAAAATATCGGACTTCTGATTACTGTCCAGAAATCGAAATACATGCCATGCGACTATATTTAGAATTTACCAAAATAACTTTTTAGTGGATATGAAATATGAGACTGTAGAAACGGTAGAAGAATTCTGCTACTTCGGGCCACTGCTATATACAATCCACTCTTTATTCCTGTCCACTCTCTAATATTCTTCAACCAAGAGGCCTGCTTTCTACCAATTCCTCT